TTTAACAATTCTCTAAGGAAAGAAGGAAGGGGGAACTTGGACCTTGACCCAAAGGCGAACTTTGCTAACTTTGGACACTGTGGGTCCTAGAGCAACTCCGCCCTGTGTCCACCCTTGTTTCCCTCTTCCCAGGAGGGTCCTGCCTGCCCTTTGTCCAGAAAGCAGGCACGTGGCCTTCCCAACGTGAAGTCCTCACCAGTCAGTGACCAGAAGCCAGGACCTTAAGCTCTTCTCCGGCGAGGCGCCCTCTGTGGGGCTTTGAGGGGGCTGCTCTTGCCTATGCGTACTTGGTGGTTGATCTCTGTCCCCTCCCTTGTGAGCCACTTCTGAGCAACAGAAGGATCGCCACCTCGGACCACTGTGGTTCGCTGAGACACCAGGAGGATCGCAGTGCCCTTCTCCAGTCCGGTCCTTCACCCAGGGGCGGTTTCGGTCCGGCCTGGGAGCGCGCTTCTACCCGTACTGAGCGCAGCCTCTCGCTCCAGGGTCCGGCTCCCAGGCGCAGGCTTCGCCCCTGGCGGCGCTGCGCCAGGGCCACGTGGCCGCGGGAGCGGGTGGGCGCAGGCAGCAATCGGAAGAGCTGCTCGGCCCTTGGTGTCGAGGCCCCGCCGCGGGCCCGGGTGAGGTTTTCCCTCGCGGGTCAGCCGCCTCCGCAGACTCTTCTCCTCGCAGTCTCCCCTCTGGGCCGCACATCAAGATCCCCTCCTCTTCCTCGGCACTTGACTCTCCACCGCCGCCAAGACTGGAACTCTGCAGGCGTCCTTAGCAACGGAACACGCCGTTGCTGTGCAGAACTCACGTATACCACGGCTCTCATGCTTCCCAGCCCAGGAATTATGTCCCTGCCCGAAACCCGTAACTAGGCGCTTCGCCCCGCCCACAGGCAGCCCGCCCCCAAAGCCAGCTCAGGCAATCGCGGCGCCGACACCGATGACGTCACGGACATCGCGGCCAATGCGAGGGCCGCGGGCGGTACCAGGCCCCACGCACTTCCGCAGCTTGGCAGGAGAAGGCGTGTCTTGCGCTTGCGCAGTGGCTCTGGCCGCCGGCTCGCAGCGCGTGGAGGCTGCACCGGGGAGCGCGCGTCAGCTCGGCTCCGGCTCCAGGCGGCTGCGGTAGCGCGCGGTGCTTGCGGGGTATGTCGTGGCTCTTCGGCATCAAAGGCCCCAAGGGCGAAGGCGAGGGGCCACCGCTGTCCCTGCCGCCTGCACCGCCTGGGGCCGAGGGCGGCGGGGACCGCGGCGCGGGAGACCGGTCGGCGCCCAAGGACAAATGGAGCAACTTCGACCCGACGGGCCTGGAGCGCGCGGCCAAGGCGGCACGCGAGCTGGAGCACTCGCGTGAGTGCGGCGGCGTGGGCGAGGGCGGGCGGGCGAGGGCGGGCGCTCCTCCACGGGAGCCGGTCCTCCGAGCCCCGGGCGTGCTGGCACCTGGGGACCTTTGGCCTCTTAGTCGCCTGAGCAGTAGGGGCGCACGTGGCTGTCGACGGTCGGTCCTTACTTGTCAGCCGAGGACCTGGCCTCCAGGAGTGAGTGCCCACGCTCCCTTGCGTGCAGGGAGGTTCGGGATTCTATCGCCTGTGGCCCCTTCCCAGCTGCCACGTGCCCGTCAGGTGAGGAGGCCGGTGCAGAGAGGACTTGCAGAGGTTACAGGTCTCAGGTTCTGGGGCTGGGCCCTGGTCTTCCGTTCCTGCCGTGTGTGGGAGCTCCTTCCCCCTCTCGCTGCCTCCACGTGGAACGGCCCAGGTGTGGCCAGATCCGGGGTCCTTTGTGGGGGTTGCTAGCGGTTTCCCACTTAAGAAGGGAAGCATGGTCGAGGGTCGTTGGTTTTAAGGAGAATGTAGCAGGTTGTTGGGACACGTTAGGTTTCAGGTAGGTGAGGTCTGTAAAGCAAGAAGTCAGACAGCCCTGGCCCAGCCTGATGACCTTCCTGACCCAGGGCACGCAAGGCATCAGCAGCAACTGGAGCTTCACTAAGCCCAAAGCCCACGTCTTTCCCCGAGCGCCCCTTTCTTCTGTGACCTGAACCATTTGTCTCAAGATGTAGTGTAAGTGTTTAAGAGCCTGGAATGTAGAAGACGCTGAATAAACGTTGATTGAAAGAATGCAACGGCTCTCAAACTTTTGTTTAAGTAGAGGTGCCCTTTTCTCAAAGGAGACCCTAGGAAGAAGCCTTGTAAGCAGGTATAAGCTGAACCTGCCCTGGCACTTTGTGGCTCAGTCCCGCCCCACCCCAGAGGGCTCCATGAACCTCCTGGCTCTCAGATCCTACAGGGACATTCAAAACATCGGGGATCGGGACAGCCGACAGCCCGTTATGCCTAGCTGGGACACACCCCTCCCAGACTAAGTGTAATTTTAATCATCAGGTTGGGTTGAGAAATAATGGCTGGCGTCCAAGCACCTCGGATGATGACAGACTTCTGACATGTGACCTGAGTTCTTGTTAAAGGATTAGTTGGGGGACACCTTTCTGCCCCAGCTCCAGTGGGGTTTCACCCACTTACTACATCCAGAATGCCAAAGTTTTCCCGCTTTTAGAAGCTGAACCCTGACTGTTTGCTTCCCCGCTCCACACAGTTATATAGGGCGTGCAGGCAGCCCCCCTGGATATGTGAGGGGCCAGCTGTGGGGCCTCCCTTCTGCCTGCTCATGCCTCTGAGTTGCTCCCATGTCTCCTGCCCCATGACATTCTCCACCTGGGTCCCCAGGGCCTGTCTGCTCTCCCTCTGAACCTCACTTCCCCACCAAGCAGCCATGTCCTGTCCAGTCGTCAGGTGCCACTGTATGTTATGGTCTCCCTTCAGGCTTCACATCAGTGACTGTCCCAGAAGTGGGGTCTGCCTCACTCTTTGTTCCTGCCATCCTTCCTGGTCTCTTCACTGCCCAGTGGGAGAGGATTTTTCCCCTGGTGGCCCGCCCCTTTTTGTCCCAAGGCCTTGTTCCCAGGGTTCCTCCAGCCCCCATGTCCAAGATTCCCTCTACAGGCCTGTCCTCCCCAGACACCCGGTTCTCAGGCAGCAGTGCCCACAGTGCTTGGCCTCAGCCTGCTCGCCCTAAGTGAACTGGAACTGCTCTCAGCTGTTCCTTGCAGTGGGACCACCTTCTCTGTCCTTTGGTCCCCTGGTGCACCCTCGGAGGGCAGAGTCACATGTTTGGCGTTGAGCTACCTGTGAGCTCCAGCCCACCTACCTGTACACTGCAGGAGGGCGGGTGCCTAAATGAACACCCTGCTTGTAATGGCTGCTGTTAGATGCTTTGGAGTGCAGGATGATTTCGAGGGGATGAGCTGTTATTGTCAGTACTAAAACTAGTCTGGTCAGTGGGGCAACCAGGTGCCAGGCCTGTACTGAGCATTTAATCTGCTGTCCCATTTCACTCTTTCAAGAGTCCGTTGGGTGAGGGGAACTTGACTTGCTCCATTGTCAAGTAAAGTGCTCAGAGGATAACCTGTCTTGCCAAAGGTCACATGAGCATACTGGGTGACTGAGATTCGGTCCCAGTGTGGTGGGCCTGTGACATCTGCGTTCTGTCTTGTTCTCTCTAGTCCTTCTCCGTCACAGTCACTTGTTAAAGGGGCTCCTGTGGTCTGTTCAGCCGTCGGCTTTGTGGGTTCCCATGCTCACTGGTGCATTGGGCTGGGGCCCTAGTGCCGCCTCTCAGAGGAGTTCTAGTAACCTGAGCCTGCTGTCACCACAGACCCAGGGGGGCCTGGCAGTGGATGTCCCAGAGGTCCTTCCCCAGCTTTGACACTTCATGCCAAACCACATGCCCCGGCGGATCATGCAAACACCATGACTTCCACCATGTCCGTCTAATGTGTGGTGTCCTTCTATTTGCTCACAGTGGCAGTTGAACTCCCAAAAAAACCCCAAAACTGAACAGGTGTAATTCTTTAGTTAATGACATGTTTGCTGTAAGGGGTCATGGGTGCCAAGGTCTGCAGTTTACTTTGGAGATTTCAGAAAGTAAGACAGATCTTGGGGGATAGAAGGATGAATGAGCTGAGGGAGCAAACTAGGAACGTGTTAGCATCAGAGAGCTGAGTTCAAAGGACCCCTGCCTTCCAGGCTTTTGCATGTCACAAGACTTCCAGTAAAATACGGCGGATCCATGAACAGCACAGGGGTTAGGGCTGCCCACCTCTGTGCCGTCAGAAACCCTCGTATACCTTGAGTCAGCCCTCCACTTATGTGGCTTCCCAATCAGATCAAAAATACTGTCTTCAACCCACGGTTGGTTGAATTGCGGAGGTGAAACCCAGGAATTCTGAGGACCGACTGTGTATATTGAGAAAATCTGCGTGTGCATGGACCCGAGAAGCTCAAAACCGTGGTGTTCGAGGGTCGGCTTCGTCTTGCTTTGGAGAACTGTGTCACAGCAGAAGTGCTTGAGAGACTTGGTCTATCTCAGCCAAGAGGGGACCAGAAGTTGGTTTCTTTCCCAGAACACTCAGATATAGACAGACATGAACCGCGCTTTATGAAGGAAATACTCATAAGAAGGTATTCTAGCACATGTGGTCATAACAGGTGATCTGTGAAGGGCTGCCTCCCGGTGCCCGTGGCTCATTTCCAATTTAATTCTCACTTACTTCTCATTCGTCCTCTGGCCTGCATGTGTCTGATAGCTGATCAGCAGCACATCCGAGACTTGAGAAACGCGTGGATCGTGAAGAACAAAGGACATTGGCCACGGGCTTGCATTTTGTTTAATTAGGAAAGGACCACCGTGTGTTGACCTGTGGGCAAGGGTTAGCCTTTCTGATGGAGCCCTCTGGAATGTGATGGCTCTTGGGGGATGGGTCCTCACACAGGGTGGAGGGTCCTTCTCTTGGGGTAGAACAGACAGGTGCAGTAACTGGGCAAGATCTCATCAGGATGAGGGCAGGCACAAGTGCTTTGAGATTGGGGCGAGCGGTGGTCTCCCTGAGCCCCTTGGCAACGTGAATGCTTGCCTGGCACCCACATGTCCTACGGTCTGTCTCCCGCACTTCTGCAGGACATGCCAAGGAGGCGCTGAGCCTGGCGCAGATGCAGGAGCAGACGCTGCAGTTGGAGCAGCAGTCCAAGCTCAAAGTGAGTAGTGGGTGTGGTGCAGTTGGAGGGGCTGTGGCTGAGGGCGAGGCGGTGCATGTGAGCGGTGGGTGCCTCCTCCCGCAGTGGTTAGGAGGGAGACGAAGGGGTGGCCATGTGGCGAGTTCCTCCAGCAGAACCTGTGCTCAGACCTGTCTGCCCCTGAGCACACACTGGAGCGGGAGAGGCTTGTTGAGCAGCATGAGGCCGAGCTGGAAGTCCTGAGTGGTGGCCTCGAGGGTCTGGGCCTCAGCCGCTGTGTGTCCACAGGAGTATGAAGCCGCTGTGGAGCAGCTGAAGAGTGAGCAGATCCGAGTGCAGGCTGAGGAACGGAGGAAGACCCTGAGCGAGGAGACACGGCAGCACCAGGCCGTAAGGGCCACAGGGCCGTGCAGGCACCGGGAGGCCTGGGGGGGTGACGAGGTCCTACATGCAGCCAGGGTCTCCCCCATCGAGGACCTGGGGTGGCCTCACACACACGCTGAGGCCCATGGATCCCTCAGCGCTGAACGTGACTGAGGGTGTGCTCACTGACAACACAGGCGGGCTGGGTGGCTTCTCCAGTCTGGGTCCCCATGTTGGTTTCGGGTCGTCCACCAGTCCCCCGCTGAACTGTGTTCACACTGCTGTCTCCCTCCCCAGAGGGCCCAGTACCAGGACAAGCTGGCCCGGCAGCGCTACGACGACCAGCTGAAGCAGCAGGTGAGTCAGCACGCCTGCACACGGGAGCCTCGTCCTGCCGGAGAGCACAGCGTCTTCTGGGGCAGGTGGGCCCGAGGCCAGGGCTGTGGACACATGGGTCGGGCTGGGTCCCACGGGAGCTTTGGCTGGACACCTACACGTGCACACCGGCACGCACACAAGGGAGAAAGGGGCCTCTGGGCTCCTGCCACACCATGCTGTGTGGTCTGCATGGCAGAGGTCGGCTCCAGCTGCCCTCAGGGCTCAGCCAGCTGACATGTGGCCGGGAACGTGGCTGCTGTGACAGGTTTGTGGTGGGGCTTCAAATGTTTGTGCCTCCAGTGAGCGTGCTAGTTTTTATTTTATTTTATTTTTTAGATCTTTGCCCGAGTATATTTTTTTATTTATCTTTAGATTGGGGGAAAGAGAGAGAGAGATGTGAGAGAGATATCAATCGGTTGCCTCCTGCACGACCCTGACCAAGGCTGGGGACAAACCGCAACTGAGGTACGTGCCCTTGATCAGAACTGAAGTCCGTGGGCCAACACTAACCGCTGAGCCAAACCAGCCAGAGCGGCATTCTAGTTTTTAAATTGAACAGTCAGGCAAAAGCCAGAGTGTTTTAGGGTTACCCGTGACCCCCTGGCCTAACTGTGCTGGGGAAGGGGCCATGTTCAGACCTGCCGACCTTGGCTGTGGCGGGTGCAGGCCCCTTGAGAAGGTCTGAGCCCCTGGGGTTGTGAGTGTTGACTGTTTCTTTATTTTGAAAGCTTTTCTTTTGTGACTTCTTTCAGCAACTTCTCAACGAGGAGAACTTACGGAAGCAGGAGGAGTCCGTGCAGAAGCAGGAGGCCATGAGGCGAGGTGGGGTTGTCGGCTCGCTGGGCGTGGGCCGTGTCCCCGGGGCCGTGTCCTCAGAGCCTCCTAGGAAGCTGTGGCTTGAAGGGCTTGTGGGCAAGCGGGTGGGTGGGCGCTGCTCTGGGCACTTCGAGCCCCGGCCAGGCTTTCTGAGACCCGTGGTGGGGCTCTGCCTTCGGAGCTGGGGCCTTAAAGCAGAACCGGTGGGCTGGGCATTCTGGGGCTCGCTCTTCTGCTCCGGGCACCCCGGGGTCTCACGTGAGTTACTCTCCTGTGAGAAGGGTACCCAGGCTTCAGGGCTCTCTGTCGAGGACCAGCCCACTGGAGGGGCCTGGCCGCAGGGGGTCTGAAGCGGGCAGTGGGCTGGTGGCCTGGGGACCGCAGGCCTGAGGCTGAGCGCTGCGCTCCCTGCCTGTCTGCGCAGCCACCGTGGAGCGGGAGATGGAGCTGCGGCACAAGAACGAGATGCTGCGGGTGGAGGCCGAGGCGCGTGCCCGGGCCAAGGCCGAGCGCGAGAATGCGGACATCATCCGGGAGCAGATCCGTCTGCAGGCAGCTGAGCGCCGCCAGACCATCCTGGAGTCCATCCGGTGAGACCGTGCTCTGGCCCTCGCGGAGCCTGACGGGGAGTCTGCCTGTCGGGGCCCTTACCGCCCTCCAGCATGTGCCCGGGCCTGGTTCCCTCCCGGTCACCGCAGTGCTTCCCCTCCAGGACGGCTGGCACACTGTTTGGAGAAGGATTCCGTGCCTTTGTGACAGACTGGGACAAAGTGACTGCCACGGTGAGCATCCTGGGGTCCGCGGGGCCTTCGCTGAGCCTCAGGCCTGTCCCCCAAGGCGGTGGCTGCTGGTCTTCCCGTTGCCCCCACGCACACTGGACAAGACGGAGCCTCTGGGTTTGGGCACTGGGACCAGTCGACGTCGAGATGTTGGGTTTCCAACCTTCCGGCTGCAAGGGCGACATGGGAAGGGGTTGCTAGTTTCATGTACCATCCCTTTGGGAAGTGTAACCAGAAACCTGCCAGGCAGCCTCAGTGGTGGGACCCAGCTGAGACCGGGGTCAGAGGTCATGTCGGGGAACTCTATTCAAACCCAGCTTTGCCGGGCCTCCCACCATCCATAGGGCCCCGGGCCCACGCTCTGAAAGCTCGCGGTCTGTGCCGTGCTGTGGGGCAGGGGCGTTGGCTGGAGTAGCTCCTGAACCGTGTAGCTGCGCGAAGCTTGCTCAGCAGGGCACTGAGCCCCGCGGGCGGCCAGGTGGTGGGAGGAGCAGGCCCACAGCACCTGTGTGCCCGCGCCCTCTGCACTGTGCTGCTCTGGACAGCTCCAGCCTCACTCGGGACAGGGTGGGGGTGAGGTCAGCCTGTGCCTCCAGGAAAGCAGGGAAGGGACTGTCCCGGGAGTGCAGTTGCGGGGACCTCCCGTCGGGACCTTGCAGCTGGTCAGACTGGTGGTGGTTCACTGCCCCCTGGAGTGGTCCATCCCGGGCAGTGATGTGGGTGAACTCGGGCTCCTGTCGCACTGCTCACTGTGTTGTGGGTAATGTGCAGAGGACCCTTGTCCTCAGTGTGGGGGCCCTGCTGAGAGCAGGTCCAGGTTCCTGGGAGTCCCACCTGCAGCCCAGTGGGGCCGGGTGAGCGCGATAGGGCTGCCTGGGGTTGGGGGCTGGCTCTAAGCCCCGGCCACCTCCTTCTGTCCCTCCTTCCGTTTCCTGCTTCCCACAGCGAGCAGCACAGCCAGCTGCCAGGGCGTAGCCTCTGTGCCCCTGCCCCGGGAGGGAGACCTGGTGTTGGGAACTATTCTGCAGAGGCTGCAGCTGTGGCCCTGAGTCCCTGCCTGGCACCAGGAGGTGCTCAGGTGCAGCTGGGGGGCACAGCGTCCTGGGGAGGAGCCTGTGTCTCCGCCTGTCAGTGCTGCTGGGACAGCTGTCACGTGCTGAAGTCCGAGCCAGCCACCATGCCCGTCTGTTAGTCTTCTGAAGGAATCAGTGATTCTGGGTCAACCTCGTTTCCCTGAGTACAGTCCAACTTCTCGAGTGGAGGTGGCGGCCCACACTGCGAACGGCCTGGCCACCTCGGGAGCCCTGCGCTTAGCCCCGCTGTGGCCTCAGCTGCCGAGTGTTTTCACTGAAAGCTGCCGAGGGGACAGTCGTGACTCAGAACCTCGGGGACTCCCTTGCCAGCTTGATCGTGAGCATCGTGGGAAGTGAGGGCAGGATTCAAAGAGGTTCATAAACCTGCAAGAAAAGCCGAGGTCACATCCCTGGGGCTTTGCTAAACCCGCAGTGGCGGCTTTTCACGGTCCTGCTGGTCGCGACCTTGTCTGTGGGAGGTCAGAGGCCCCTGAGGTTGCGTCTGATGAGACACCTGGGGGAGTGCTGGGCCCCGAATGAGAAGCAAGTGTAGCTGTTCTTCCCACTGGTCCCCTCTGTTCTGACTGGGAGGCGGCTCCAGGTGCTGGGCTCCGGACTGTCAGCACCCTGCGCCCCGCGCTGTCTGCTGGGGTGCTGGCCCCTGTGCATGAGAGCAGGTCCTGTTCCTGTGCCCTTGCTGAGCTGGCACAAAGGACACCAGGCAAAGGAGAGGAGCCCCACTGAAGTAGAGCTGACCGAGAGGAGCCAGGAGGGAGGACAGCACCGTGGCTGTGGGTTTCGTGTCCTGTAGTTCTGCACGTGCCCCCTGCCCCCAGCAGGATCTGCATGCCACGTGTTTCTGTGGTCATCACCCCTGGAGTATTCTCCACGCATAGGGCCCCCTGACCCTTCTCCTGTGGTCTCCACGTGGCAGCTCCAGACCTCACCTTGGCCATTTGTTTACGCAAGGATCCAGAGACAAGTTTGCTGGTTAAGTGTCTCAGTCCGTTCTCACTCCACAGTCCCTGCCTGTCCTGGGCTCTCCATCCTGTCTGATGAGCCATCTGTGAGCTGAGCATTTACCTGCCAAGCTGTGGACATGCAGAGGGAGGGTGGTTGAGGCAGCAGGAGGACCTGTGAGGTCGATGGAATCTGAGCCCCTCTTCTTGCTGTCCCGACTCTGAACCTAGCTCCTGTAGCCTGAGTCGCCGTCCCCTGCAGCAGCCCCGCTGTCTGCTCTGTAGGGAGTAGTTTCAATCTGTCTCCAGATGTTGGCACAGTTCCGGGAGCCTCTCGTGGTAGTTCTGTCAAGTGCCCGGTGACCATGCTCCCCTTGGCATCGGGTGTGTCCTCCAGCAGCCTGTTGGAGCTCCTGTGGTTGGAAGCTTCCCTGGTCCTGCTGGAGCACATCCTCCAGTAGCTTTCTGAGAAAGGGGCTCGGGATGAGCTTTCTGGTGTCTTGTCTTCTGCAGTGGTGTGTGATTGAACACCACTGGGAGTGGGATTGGGACCCCTGCCGGCACTTGGCACAGGATGGGTGGGGTGCCAAGGGCTGGGCACGATTTACCTCCTTTCTGCCCTGCTGCAGGTGGCCGGGCTGACATTGCTGGCTGTCGGTGTCTATTCTGCCAAGAACGCCACTTTGGTGGCTGGGCGGTACATCGAGGCCCGGCTGGGGAAGCCGTCCCTGGTGAGGGAGACCTCTCGGATCTCCGTGCTGGAGGCGCTACGGCACCCCCTGCAGGTATGGGGCCTGGCTGTGTCCCCCCACTCCTGGTGGGAGCCAAGCGCCCTATGTGCTCCTTCCTTCCTTTTTAACTCAGACACTGTCCTCCTCCTCCTGCACGTTGGGTTTGCTTTTGGCTTTGTCATCCTCAGGGTCTGTCCACATCAGCACTGGGGCAGCCTCATCCCAGCCCGCTCAGTCACCTCTGGGTCGACTCGAGTGTTGGCACACTGGTGGGGCTCCCGTGTGCCCTTGTCCTGTAAGAGAAGTAGCTGGAAGTGACGGTGTCGGCTGCCTCCCTGTACACCCACCCCTGGATGTGTGCTTCCTGCCTAGCACTGACCCGAGGCCTGTTCTGCCGTGGGCTGTGGGCTGTGACCTCTGCAGTAACCGGGATGTGGGTGGCGGAGGGAGAAAGAGGTCACTAATGAACCCGTGTGTCGCCCAGCCCAGTAACACAGATGGCCTGGCCGGGCAGCCCTCGAAAGTGGCCGGTCCTGCCTGGGGTGTGGGCCCTGGGCAGTGCTGTTCCTCATGCCAGGCCGGCTGCAGCACTCAGTGGCTGATGCCCCTGACCCCTGGTTCCCCACAGGTCAGCAGGCGGCTCCTCAGTAAGCCTCAGGATGCCCTGGAGGGCGTGGTCCTCAGTGTAAGTGGTGCTGCCGGGTGGGCAGAGGTGGGGGTGTGGCGGGTGCTGGCCTGGCTCTCAGGAGGGACAGACTCGGCAGGTGTCCCTGAGACGGAGCCCCTGTGCCCTGGCAGCCCAGCCTGGAGGCCCGGGTGCGGGACATCGCCATCTCCACGCGGAACACCAGGAAGAACCGCAGCCTGTACAGGAACATCCTGATGTACGGGCCACCTGGGACCGGCAAGACGCTGTTTGCCAAGGTGAGGGCGGCCCCTCCCCAGGGGTCGCGCCTGCCTGGGGCCTGGATGCTGTGGGTGGGGCCTTGTGTGGGAGGGATGGCCCCTCAGGAGGGTCCTCTCTCTGCAGGGATTGCCCGGCAGCCCCACCCCCTCCACCCAGCTCTGACCCTGCTTCCCCCACCCGTACCACACCCCCAGCCCACCGCTGCCTTCTGCCTTCCCCCCAGAAACTTGCCCTACATTCAGGCATGGACTATGCCATCATGACGGGCGGGGATGTGGCCCCCATGGGGCGTGAGGGCGTGACCGCGGTGCACAAGGTCTTCGACTGGGCCAGCACCAGCCGGCGAGGGTGAGCAGGCTTCCTGGCGGGCCCCTGGCAGGCTCCCACACCCAGCTCCTGGTGGCCACAGCTGTCGATAGGAAGGGGTCAGACTGTTCCGCGGCCTGTCCTAGTGTCCCAGTGGTCTGGCCGCCCCCGCGGCGGGTGGGGAATTCACCCTGTGCTCATCCTAGGAGCCCCTTGGTGCTGGCCCGGTGTTGAGTCAGTGCCAGGTCAGGACGGACTGTGTTCTAGACACTTCCTCCTGATGTTGGCCTTGGCACGCCCTGTCCCAGGTTGAGGTCTGGGGTCCCAGAGCTCCCGAGGGCCACGTGTGGTTGGGCTCCTGAGCACCTGGTCGTCCCACAAGGGCAGTGTGTGTGATGGGCCCTTCCACCCCTCACGCAGCCCCTCCCTTCACAGCCTTCTCCTCTTCGTGGACGAAGCAGACGCCTTCCTCAGGAAGCGAGCCACGGTGAGTGTTCTGGAAGCTTCCGCCTGACAGCGGGCTCAGGTGCTGTGTCCAGTGTGTAGGCCCCCCACGGTTTCAGCTGCCTCTGATCTGGGAGGGTCATGACGGGTCTGGCTCAAGCCGCTCCTCAGCTGTGCTTTTCTAAATTTGTTAAAAAAGCAGAAGTTGTGTCTGTGGCATTTTTCAGGATTTTCTTTTTTTTTTTTTTTAATTCTCGCCTGAGGACACTTTTCGATATTTTGTTCAGATAGAGTGGGAGGGAGGGAGGGAGAAACATCGATGTGAAAGAGACACATCGACTGGTCGCCACCCACACGACCAACCAGGGCCGGGAACAAACTGCAACCAAGGTACATGCCCTTAGCGGGAACTGAACCCGGGTCTCTCCGGACCGCAGGCGGACGCTCCAACCACTGAGCCAAACCAGCCAGGGCCATTTTTCAGGATTTTCTTCAAGTCAAGTTTCGGGTCACAGGCGCTGCCACGCCTCCTGGGAGGAGCGGACGGGCTGCCCGTCCGCGGGGTGCGTGCAGAGCTGTGCTTGTCCTGACGCTGGGACTTCTCTCTGCAGGAGAAGATCAGCGAGGACCTCAGGGCCACCCTGAACGCCTTCCTGCACCGGACCGGCCAGCACAGCAGCAAGTGAGGCGCCCGCTAGCTCACGGCCGGGGGCAGCGCTCTCCTGCACCTGCCTGTCGGCCCCACAGCAGCGTCCCGAGCCGAGAGCCGAGGGGGAAACCGAGGCACCACCTCTGCTCCCGCTGCTGCTGCAGGGCCAGGGTTGGGTGGCGCTGGCTGACCCGGGTGCCATGGCGCGCCGGGCGGTGTCCCAGATCTGGGGCCCCCTTGTCCTTCATCTGTGCGGTGTGGTCAGGAACCACCGCGGTTTGCTGGGGTGTCTCAGGCAAAGCTGGGCAAGGTCATTGCCCTTGGCACCTTCGGCTGCCCCCAGAGATGGGCCGTCAGGGCCCTGGCCCCGCAGCTGGGTACCTGAAGCACAGATGCCCCTAATTGTGCTCTTCTGCCTCGTTTGAGACCCGATGTACCCCCCACCGGTCACCGAGGGGCACCCAGCCCTGCGCGTGGGACATGTCACCCTCATGTGCTATGGCTGAGACCCCCAGAGAGGTGTGTCTATTCCTGCTGAGTTGGCCCCTCTGCCCAGCTGAACCCCAGGCCCTGAACTTGGTTTTCTGGTGGGGAGGGCAGGGGTCTGTCTTTGACCCTGGGTCCCTGTCCCTTCTGTGCATAGCGAGGCTGATCCAGCCACCCCGTCAGGTGGGGCCCTTGGCCAGAGAAGCGTGAAATTGGGGCAGGAACAGAGTTGGGAGGGTGGGCAGCAGCAGCCAATGCTGGATCTTCAAACGCTGGCTGCCAATTAGAATCTGCTAGAAAACTACCCCATGTGGGTTGCTCCCCAGCAGAGAGCACTTGGCTCTGGAGCCCTCAACTCCCGCTGTCTGTCGGCCGCAGGTTCATGCTGGTCCTGGCCAGCAACCAGCCCGAGCAGTTCGACTGGGCCATCAATGACCGCATGGACGAGATGGTCAGCTTCGACCTGCCGCAGCTGCAGGAGCGGGAGCGCCTGGTGAGGATGTATTTTGACAAGTATGTTCTTAAACCAGCCACAGAAGGAAAGCAGTAAGTGTCCTGGGCAGCCCGTGTCGCTCCTGCCCTGTCACACTGGGGCCCTCCCAGCACCGCCTCCCAGTGGTGCCCTGGCCCCGCCAGCTCCTGGTTCACGCACTGCACCCTAGTCTAACTGTGGCTTCCTGTGGGCTCAGGGTGTGCTCGTGTGTAGCTTCATTGCTGGAGCCCGGCTGCCCCCGTCCACTACTCCTGTCCTCTCTACTGCTGCTCTCTGTCCACCTGCTGCCCTGTCCACCTGCCACTGCTCCTTGTCCACCTGCTCCTCCCTGTCCACCTGCCACCCCATCTACCACTCCTGTCCTCTCTGCCTGCTGCTCCTCGTCCACCTGCCACCCCGTCCTCTACCCACTGCTCCCTGTCCAGCTGCTCCTCCCTGTCCACCTGCCACCCCATCTACCACTCCTGTCCTCTCTGCCTGCTGCTCCTCGTCCACCTGCCACCCCATCCTCTACCCACTGCTCCCTGTCCAGCTGCTCCTCCCTGTCCACCTGCTGCCCCGTCCACCTGCTCCTCTCATCCTCTACCCGCAGCTATCTGTCCACCTGCCACCCCATCCACCTGCTGCCCCGTCCACTTGCCCATCCTGTCTACCTACTTGGCCCCCTTGTCCCTGCCCAGCTCTCTGCCGGGTCTTCGAGTTGGCAGCCCCACCATGTTCTGTTACACGAAGTGCCTTAAGGAAGCAGATCCCAGGTTGCAGTCAGGCCTGGGTAGGTAGGGGCCATGGTGGCCCATTTCGGACTCATGGAGCTTTACTCTGAGACCACCATCCACTGCCAACCCTGACTCCGGGGAGCCCGGGGCCCTGTGCCAGCACGCAGCATGGCCTTCTGCAAAGCCCCCTGGAGGGGTGGCCCTGCACACTGTCCAGACCACGCTGTCACACCGTGCTCCAGATAAGTGGAGGCTGGGCTATTTTAACTATCTCCAGGGGATGGGTCTCAGCAGCACTGACCTGAATTCCTCCTGTTGCTGGCAGTGACGAGAGCTGCTTCCACTCCAGGCGGCCTCTGCCTACTGCCGCTCTGTGCTGTTGTGCCCTCCGACTCCCTCCGGCTCCCTCCGGCTCCCTCCAGGCCTCCTCCCTTTGCCTGGCTGCCCACCCACTTCCTGCTGGCCTGCCAGGGCGAGCTGCTGAGGCCTTTGTTCGGTGTCTGACTGGTTCCTCCTGGACCTCAGGCAGACCCGTGGGGAGCTCAGCGTGCGCGTGGAGACCCAGCTGAACTTTGCTCCAGTTGCAAGTGTCTCCCTCTGATCTCTCACTTGCTTTGCTTGCTCCTCTGCTCCTCCCTGACACAGTTCTAGATGCTCTGCGCTCTGGGTGCGGGGCCGGGTCTGGTGTGAAGACGACGTGGTCCCTGACCTGGGCGGGCGGTGGGGCCCCTCGTTTCCACACGTTCTCAGTCCCTGCCTGGACCCCGCGCTCCAGGGGAAAGGAAGTGCTGCAGGGCAGGAAGGGTGGCCCTGCTGTGCCTGGGGTTTCCCTGCAGGCTCCTGCCCCTGCAGCTGTCCTGCCCTCCCTCTGGGAGTCGTGGGCCTCACAGGCCCTCGTGCGGCTCTGAGTCCTGGGACACCAGGCCTCACTCGAGAACTCCTCCTCACAGGCGCTTGAAGCTGGCCCAGTTTGACTACGGCAAGAAGTGCTCAGAGATCGCACGCCTGACAGAGGGCATGTCGGGCCGGGAGATCTCCCAGCTCGCCGTGGCGTGGCAGGTGAGCCGGGGACATGCCCGTGGCACGAGGGGACAGTGTGGGCACTCAGCCCTGTGACGGTGCTGCCTCTGCCTCCAGTGTTTCTGGGGAAGGACGCGATCACTGCCCTGTCCCCGCCACCACCTGCCTGTGCCACCATGGGGGAAGGGGGCGGCCGTCAGCAGCTTTCATGCTGTGGCCCCTCGTCGTCATCCAGATCAGACGGGCCCCGTGGGAATGAGGCTTGTGTCGTTTGGGCCTCTGGACCCCCCGGCTCAGTGGCTCTGGAACCACTGGACTCTCCCAGCTGACGCCCAAGGCCAGGGGCACAGCAGCTCTGCAGCTGGGCCGGGGGACACATCCGGATTGGGGGCACATCCAGGCCGGGGGGGCACAGCCGGGGCGGGGGGCAGGGGCACAGCCGGGTTATAGCAGGGGTGCAGCTGGGCTGGGACACGTCCCATGAGCAGTCTGGTTCAGCAGGGCGGGCGAGGTGAGGAGAGGAGCTGGGCAGCTACTCACCTGGTAAGGGTGCCAACCACTGGTGTTGAGGGTCCTCTGGTCCTGCGGGCACCCTCCAAGTTCTGGCGTTCAGGACAGGTTCACTGTGATCTCTCCTGCAGCCTCAACCATGAGGGTGGCTTCATCCCCACGTTGTGGCTCCCAGCACACAGGCCAGGGGCTCTCATCACTCCTGGATGCCCCGTTTTCCTCCGAGGCGTCCTAGCAGCTGACCCGCAGGAGCCTCGGAGGCAGCCCAGCATTTGCTCCTGGGCTGCTGGGCAGGAGAGCCGGTCGGCAGAGGGGCTGTCCCCTGCGACCACAGCACTGGCTCCTGTACTGCGGTCTCAGGCAGTGGGGCAGCCCGACCACCGTCAGTGCAGAAATGCCTTTGAATGGATGTGTCTCACTAAGCGCACACTTGCTCAGATGGGAACGTCTGGCTCAGGCATGCAGGGACTGTCGCAGTGACCTGGGCAGGCCAGCTGGGGGCTCTGCCCCAGGCCTGTGACAGTGCAGGGCAGTTGTCTTAGCTCAGCTGCCGTGACCTGCCACAGCCCAGGCTTCATCACACGTCATCGCTTGTGGTTCTGGAGGGGACGTGTCAGAGCAGCGGATCCTGGCTGTGGGTTCTGATGAGGGCCACCCTCGCTGGGTCCTCACAGCAGATACACAGGGCTGTCCGGCGTCTCCTCATAAGGACACTCCTCTCACCTAAACCACTTCCTCAGAGGCACTGTCTCCAAATACAGCCACACTGCGGGTAGGCCTTCGCCGTCTGAGTTTGGGGGACAAGGATGCTCATTCCCTAACAGTGGGTCATGCCCTGGCTCAGCATTGGCTCCAGAACCCACATACCCCTGACTGGCCCACCAAGTGCCTGACCTGTGAGACTGGTGTCCTCAGACCCCACACGACAGGCGGGAGCAGACACCCAGGGACCGAGGGGCACTCTTCCTAAGGTCTGGTCCTCACATCAGGGTGCGTTTGGTTGACTGGTCAGCTCAGCGGAGGCCTGCTAGTCCCGCCCTTCACGGGAGAGAAGAAGTGAAGACTGCACTCCACCGTCTGGGAAGGAGCGGAGCAGCCTCCTCTGCCCAGCCTGGGTCCGCGCCTCCCTGCGGGAGCCAGGGCACTGTGCTCTGCAGCGCCCAGTGGTGGTGCGTGGACTCCGCTGCAGGGGTCTTGTCAGGCAGGCTGCAGCCGTTGCCGTGGGGACACGCTGCTGTCTCACCATCCCGACCTCGTCTGCTTGTACAGCTCAGGGACACTGAGTGCAGCCGTCCCCACTGCCATCTCCAGGACTTTCCATCCTCCCAGATGAAGTCCATCCCCATTAGACACCCCACCCCGCCAGCCCCTCGCCCACCATCTACTTCCTGTCCCTATGGATCTGACTCCTCCCGGAGCTCCTGAGGGAAATCACACGGCATTTGTCCTTGTGTGTCTGGCTTGTTTTCACGAGATGTCGTCCTCAAGGTCTGTCCGTATAGTGAGTGTCGGCTTTTCTTTCTCACCCAAGGACATGCTTAGAGGAAGGGAGAGGGAGAGAGAAGCATTGATGGGTTGTCTTCCGTAGGGGCCCTGACGGGATCAAACCCATAACCCAGGCATGTGCCCTGACCAGGAATCGGACCGGGACCTCTCAGTCCACTGAGCCACATTAGCTGGGCAAAAACTTTAAAACTTGATGAAATCCAGTTTATCCATTTTTTCCCTTTTGTCATCTCTGTTTATAGTGTTCTGGCCAAGAAATCACTGCATAGTCCAGTCTAGAAGCTTTTCTCCTATGTTTTCTGAGACTTTGTGGTTTGAGGTAATACGTTAAGGTATTTGATCCACTTTGAGTTAACTTTTATATGTGGTGTGAGGTAGGGGTCCAGCTTCATTCTTTGCTTGTGGATGTCCGGTTCTCCCAGCACCGCATGTTGAAAACACTGTCCTTTCCCCATTGGTGGTCCTGCACCATTGTCGGAAATCATTTGACAATGATTTGGGGGGCTTATTTCTGGGTGGCTGTCCCGTCCCGTTGTTCCCTACATCTGTCTTTATGCCAGCAGCGCGATGGGTGCATCACTGCAGCTCTGGAGGAGGTCTGATGTGGGAAGTGTGAGCCCTCCAACTCCCGTCTTCTTTTCAAGGTTGCTTTGGCGGTTCGGGCTCCCTTGAGATTCCATGTGAATGTGAGGGTTTTCCCCCTGTATCTATAGATTGCTTTGTGTAGCTTCGACGTAACAATGTTAAGTTCCAGGGCGTGAACATAGATGTCTTTCTGTTTTGGAGTCTTAATTTCTTTTAGCAGTATTTTGTAGTTTTCAGTGTACACATCGTCCACCTTCTTAATTCTTTTTGATGCCATTGTAGGTGTGCTTATTCTCTTAACTTCCTTTCCAGGTTGATCGTTGTTACTGGATAGAAACGCAAATCGTTTTTATGTGTTAATTTTGTGTCCTGCAACTCTGCTGGATTTATTTAACAGTTTTGGGGGGCAATCTTTAGGGTTTTCTACATATAAGATCATGTCACCTATACGACAGACAATTTTATTGTTTTCCCAATCTGGATCCCTTTTATTTCTTTTTCTTGTCCACTTGCTCTGGCTACAATTTCCAGTGCTGCATTGAAGAGAACTGGTGAGAGCCAGGCATTCTTGTCTTGTTCTGATTTTGGAGGAAAGCTGAAATCTTTCATCATTGGTATATTTGCTGTGGGTTTTCCATTTGCAGTCTTTATTATATTGAGGAAATTTTCTCCTATTTCTAGTTAACTGAGCATTTTTATCAAGGAAGGGTGTTGGGCCTGGCCATTGTGGCTCAGTGGTTGAGCGTTGACCCATGCAGTAAGAGGTCACTGGTTCAATTCCCAGTCAGGGCACATGCCCAGGTTATGGGCCTAATCCCCAGTGTGGGGTATGCAGGAGGCAGCCAGTCAGTGTTCTCTCTCATTAATGTTTCTGTCTCTCCCTCTCACTTCCTCTCTCTCTGAAATTAATGAAGAAAAGATAAAAAGGGTGTTGGATTTTGCCAGGTGCTTTTTCTGCATCAATTGAGATTATTATGTTTTTGTCCTTTTTTTTTTTTTTTTTTTTTTTTATCCTCACCGGTGGACATTTTTCCATTTTTTTGTTCAGGTAGAGTGGGAGGGAGAGAGAGGAACAGAGAGAGAGAGAAACATCAATGTGAAAGGACACATCGAGTGGCTGCCACCCGCACAACCAACCAGGGCCGGGGACAAACTGCAACCGAGGTACGCGCCCTTAGCGGGAACCGAACCCGGGTCTCTCAGGTTCTCCTGCCGGGTCTCCGCAGGCCAACGCTCTAACCGCTGAGCCAAACCGGCCAGGGCTGTCCTTTTTTTTTTTTAATCCTCACCTGAGGATATGTTTTTATTCTTTCTTTTTTTAAAGAAAGAGGGAGAAAAACAATGATGTGAGAGAGAAGCATCCATTGGTCACCTGTATGAGACTGGAGATCGAACCCACAACCTAGGCTGTGCCCTGATCTGGAATCAAACCCACAACCTTTTTTTAAAATCCTCACCTGAGGATATGTTTTTATTGATTTTTAGAATGAGAGAGAGAAACATACATACTCCGACTGGTGATCGAACCTGCAACCTAGGCGTGTGCCCTGACCAGATATTGAACCCGGAACCTCTTGGTGTGCAGGACGACAGTCCAACCGACTGAGCCACGTGGCCGGGGCTGCCCTTTTGTTTCAGTGGTGGTGCTTTGCACTACTGACTTCCCTGTGCTGAACCCTGGAGTAACCCACCTGGTCGCGGCGTGCTGGTGTTTCCGAGGACTTCTGTGCCTGCGCTGGTCAGGAATGTTGGCCTGGAGGTGATTTTCCTTGTGTCTGCCTGGCTTTGTTGTCCGTGTTGTGGCCCCTGGAGTGGGGAGCCTCTCCTTGGTCTTGTTTTCTGGGAGAGCTTGGGAAGGACTGGGATTAGCTCCTTAAGGAGCTGGTAGAATTCACCAGCGAAGCCACCAGGGGCCAGAGCATGCCCTTTTTTGTTGTTTTTTCTTAATGAACTTTAAAGATTTTAAATAATGTTAGGTTCACTGAAACATTGCTGGGATGGCACAGGGCTCCTGGGCACCTCACATCCCCCCACATCACGAGCAGTTCCCCCTGGACTCGGTCTTCCCAGAATCCCACAGGTACCCCAGTGCATTTAGTTGTCACCTCCTTTGCTCCTCCGGGCTGTGGCAGCTCCTCAGATGTCCCTTGTTTCTGATGATCCTGGCAGCTTTGAGGGTGCCAGTCAGGTGTTACGTAGAATGCCTCTCGTCGGGGCGGTTTGATGTTTCTCATGATCAGACTGGGCTTGTGGGTTTTGGGAAGGTGACCCCAGAGGTGAAGTGCCCTTCTGGTCACATCATATCTGGGGACACCTGACATCACAGGGATGTTGGGCTGGGTCACCTGGTCAAGGTGGTGGCTGCTTTGTGTCTCCGGGGTCAAGTCAGCCATTCTCCCCTTTGCCTCATTTTTTGGAAGCACGTCATGGAGCCTAGCCCTCCCTCAGTAGGGGTCAGTCCCCTTTGGGGGGACATGGCTGCCCAGGTATTCTGGGATTCCGGAAGGAGCATCTCTGCCCGTTCCTGCCAGGGAAGCCTCCAGCTGCTCCCAGACCCTGACCCACAGGGGCCCTTGGGGTTCCCTCCTTCTACACTGCTTTTCAGGGCCCTGTGCTTATCATAGGAGGCTGCAGGGGCAGCCCCCTCTCTGACCCAGGCAGGGCACTGAGCAAGGGGAGCAAATGACTAGTTAGCTCAGGGGAGAGGAGCTTGCTCACGGGGTCCCATGTGGGCTGAGGCCTCTCGGGTAGCTGGAGGGACAGCTGGACGGGCTCAGACACCAGTGGCTGTCTACACAGCAGGCTCGACCAGAGCAGCAGGCCCAGTGATGGGAAGCGGGTAGGGTACTGGGTCATTGGAGGTGGGGGTGGCCCATGGTCACACAAAGGTGATCCGATTGGCAGCTGAGGTGTTTTGGACCACACTGAGGCCTGATGACCCCACCCAGGTGCCTGCCCACATTCATGGCTGGCAGCCCTGGGCACTGGGCGTGCAGAGCTGCAGGGCGATGGCCTGGCTTAGTGGCCCGTGGTTCTGGAAGGACTGTTGGCCTACAGCGGGCATCCTGTGCCAGGCAGGTCTTGGTAGACCACAGCTGCTCAGCGTGCGGGGCTCAGAATTGCTGGGGCTCCTGGGATGCTGTCTGCCTGGGGACCGTGCCCCCGTCAGAGTGGACCTGTCCCTCGAATGGCCTGTGGTGGCTCTGTTTGTGCCCTGGTGCTGAGGGCGTCTGCGGTTTGAGAAGCAGGGCCATCCAGGTTTGCAGGGGCCTGGGCTGCTTCCTGAGCGCCAGCCTGGGGCCTTTCTAATTGTAGGAAGTCGCCGAGAAACGAGTGACAGGGCCAGGGGCCGGGCGGGTGGCACCAGCTCTGGGCTGCAGCTCACCTATAAGCAGGGTGTGTGGCACACCTGTGTGCACTGGAGGGCGGGTGTGTGCATCAGCAGGTCAGGGTGTGTTCTGCCCAGGGCGGGTGTTGACCAGCCATCCCATCCCTGACTCTGCTCCCATGTGCCCCCACCCCAAAGGAGGGCATCTCCAGGAAGCCAGCTCATGGGTGGGAGGGAGCAAGAATGGATGGGGGGAAGGGGAGCTTCCAGGCTGTCTCATTGCTGGGTCTGGCTCTGGCCTAGAGTGTGACTGGGCCCTGGTGCCTAGTGGTCTCTGAAGGCGTGAGGCTGGGAGACCCTGTCCCCATTGAGGCAGCCCCTCTGGGCGCCCTGCCTCAGCGTTCTCTTTCCCTGCTAGGCCATGGCTTATGCCTCGGAGGATGGGGTCCTCACCGAGGCCATGATGGACGCCCGGGTCCAGGATGCCGTCCAGCAGCACCGACAGAAGATGCAGTGGCTGAAAGCTGAGAGCCAGGCCCGAGGGCAGCCAGCCCCCACTCCCGAGTGCGCGGACTGAGTGAGCTGGGCTTCGACAACTGGGGACCCTGGGGCGCACTGGCTGGGTGGCATCACCAAGAGGCAGCACCGAGATGCCCATGTTTCCCAGAGGCCAGTGTGGGTGCTGCACAGCCGCCCACCTCCCCAGCCTTTTTACTATTCCTCTGGTCAGGGCAAGGGCAGCATTAAAGGCCTCTGCTTAGGACCAGCTGCAGCTGTGTGTCTTTGTGGTGGGAATCTGCCCCTCCAAGCTGTGGTTTTGGCTGGGGAGGGTCAGGCTTGGGCCACTCCTAGGCGGCTCCTGGGAGAGGTGTCTCCAGCCAGGCCCAGAACAGGGAGAAGGCACAGCCCCCATGTCCAGGGGAAGCAGCCAAGTGGACACTGCCCAGTAGCTGGCTGCTGCTGTGACCTGCGGTGGAGGGGAGCCTGACCTCCCCAGTCCCACCTGGACCGGAGCCCAGCGAGGGCTGAACAGAGCAGACCCCGTGGTGCCCTTCATGTCTCTGACGTACGCACAACTTCGTGTCCTTGGGTACCTGGTTGGGGCTGCACCTGAGACTGGGAGACCCCCGACCTGCTGGCTAGGGTCCTTCAGTGCTGGGGAGCTGCCCTCCCTCTCTGGAGCTAGGGCCTTTTTGTCCAGAATCTAATAAAAACTCTGACGCCATACCTCAGTATCCATCTCGTGGCTGATGTGAGGGGCGGGGCTTGAAGGGCTCCCCGGGTCAGAGGTGAAAGAAGAGGCAGAGGCTGGAGCTTTCTGGAGAATTTACTGACCAGCAGGAGTGGGGGTCACAGTGAGGCGCTGACCAGGGATGCCCTGGGCAGGGTGGCCGCACTTGCCACATCGGGGCTCAGGGGCCTTATTGCTGCTGGGCCGGGGTCTCCCCCAGACCCCTTCCCCCCACCCCCCACTGCGGCCCGCGGACGCACACGCCCCATGCACATGCTCCCGTGTGCAGACGTGGGTGCGGCCGGGGTCCGGCCCCCTTCTCTGCTCAGACCATCTCCCGGCCTCCCCTCCGCCAGGACGGAGAAGGACACCGGCACATAGGAAACAGCCGGTTTTACGTAACAAACATGGTCCCAGGCCAGGCGCAGGCCGAGGGCAGGACGTGGGGCCCCTGCTGCCCCAAGCCCCAGCGCCCTGCCTGGCCCTGGAGACCGGGGTCCTGCCCCCAGACCGGCCCCACCCCGACCCCTTTATAAAAAGAAGAGGAGACAGCACCTTCCGCTGGACACACCTGGCGGCCGGGGCGCCCTGGCCCAGGCGGCCGTCCAGTCCCGTGTACGAGGGCGCGGAGGCCGGTGGCCCCGCGAGTCCTGCGCGCGGCTTAAAGGTGCCGCGGGCTCGGGTGGCCGTTGTGGTAGAGTTTCTGCTTCACGTGCACCATGTTCCCGGCCGCCTCCTCGAAGGGCCTGTGCGGCCGCCTGCCGAGCTCCCGCAGGTTGCACAGCTTGGGCAGCCAGGTCCACGAGCCATCTGAGGGCGTGATCGGGGTCTGTGGTCAGGCCGGGGCGGGGCCGGCGCGGTGGGTGTGGTCGGGCTGGGGCGTGGCTAGAGCGAAAGGGCGGGGACGGTGTGTCGGGCGGGGCCGGGAGAGGGGCGTGGCTTTAGAGTCGGGTGTGCTCGGGCTGGGCGTGGTCTGGGTGAGGCTTGGCCCAGAGTGCGACAGCGCCTGAGACTGGCGTGAGGGGCGTGGCCTGTGGGCGGGGCGGGGCCAGGGGCGTGCCGGGAGCGTGGTCTGCGTGGGCGGGGCGCGAAGGGGCGTGGCCTGAGGCGAAGCTAGCCGGGCTGGGCGTGCCAGGGGCGGGGTTCCGCGGGCGTGGGCGGGGCAGGCGAGGGCGGGGCGGCGAGGGCGGGGCAGGCGAGGGCGGGGCAGGCGAGGGCGGGGCAGGCGGGGCGCAGCTCTTACCGTAGCGCCGGCCGGCCCGCCAGGCGCGCACCGCGCAGTGCAGGACGCCGTCCATCCACACCAGGAACCAGCTGATGCAGAAGCCGAGCAGCAGCCCCAGCATGAGGTCGATCTCCTGCTTGGTGACGTTGTCTGTCACGAAGTAGTTCTCGGAGGCGTCCACCACCGACTGGTCCCCGTCGTACGGGATCACGTAGTGGATGTGGTGCCTGGGGGCGGCAGGGCGGGCTGGCACCTCTCCCGCGGGGCGCGCGGGGATCCCTGCTGGGGTCTTTGAAGCAGCCCTGTGGGGCTGAGGGCCGGAAGGGGCCAGCGGACTCGCCCAGGGCCCCGGCCCCCAGGCGGAGGCTGCCCAGAGGGTGGGCGTGGGCGAGATCAGTGGTCAGCGTGACGTCCGGGTGCTGGCCAGGGGTGCGCCTGCCCGTGCGTCACCCCTCCCTCCTCTGCCTGGCCTGGGGCTTATCATTGACCCTGACGGGGTCACAAGCACAGTGCAGGTAGACGGACTGTTCCAGGGTGACGGCCCAGGTCACAGCCCACCTGCTGGACACGGGGCGGATGCGGCCCCTCTGGGACCACCCCTCTGGCCTCTCTCTGCACCTGATATTCACAAGCCCCTTCCTCAGCTCCCCCTGCAGGCAAAGCCAAGTGCTGTCATCCTGCCCTGGGTCTTGGGTCTTCCTTTTGCTCCTCCGTCCTTGATGCACTGCCCAGTACCCCATCCTTTCATCCCCTCTCCCGGGGGCACGCCCTGGCCTGTGCCCTGCACGGATCTGCAAAGCCTTTGTCTGCTTCGCTGCTCCCAATGGACTATGGACGGTGGGATGGCAGGGTTTCAGCTGTCCAGGGCTCTCTGGACCGTGGCCCTTCCCCTGCATCCCACCATCTACCAAAGCCTGTGCCTCTCAGCCTCCCCTCCCTCCACTGGCCAGACTTGGGCATCTGAACCCTCCAGGTCCTCGCTTGCCTCTGTTGCCTCTGACGATCACACTAAACCCTCCCCGCAAAGCCCCCTCAAGCCTCAGACCAGCCTGGATACCCTCCTCCTCCAAGAAGGCCTCTGGGCCCATGGTCCCAGGTGGAGAGGCCCTGCCTAGGAGACCACACTCAGGACAACAGACTCTGGGCTCGCCAACCCCCCTCACTGTCAAGAGAGGCTGGGAGCCAAGACGCAGTGGGGTCCATGCACCCTCAGCTCCCATTCTCGCCAGCTACCGCAGCCCCTCCTCTTGCCCAGCAGTGCAGGGGCCTCCCTGGGGTCCTCCTGCCCAGGAGGCCACCTCTCCTGGTTCCCCCTCCTCCCTAAGTCCCTTTCCTGGCTTCTCCAACTCTCCATCCCCACCCCCTAAAGTCCCTGCCACCCCACACATCTACTCCGGGCTCCAGCTGCCTGCCTGGCGTCTCCATGTGGGATCCACAGACACCTCAAACTCACACCTAAAAATAGCTCCTCCCTCCCAAACCTACTTCTCCCATTTTCCCTTCAGTTAGATGTCAACACCTCCGCCTGGTCTTTAGTGAAGATAGGACCTTACCCACCCCCCTTGCTTCACTGCCCCCCAGAGACCTTCCCCCAAATGGAAATCCCACCAGTTCTCCCTGACCTCGGGCCCTGCTGAACCAATACTGGCCACACAGTGACTTCCTCTCCTTGGGGTCAGTGGAGTCCTGGAGCCCCAAACCCAGCCCAGGGGATGGCAGCAGACAGGCCTCTCCTCACACCCTCTCCTGCTCCTTCTGGGAGCCCTGGAGGCCACTGTGCACAGCACGTACAGAGTGTGCCCAGTCCCAGTGGCTGGGACCTCAGCCACCACAGCTCCATAGAGCAGGGGCCACCCACCCTGGGTCAGTCAGCAAGAACCGCCTGACACCTGGCAGTCGTTGCTTATCTGATCAGTTTGTCAATAGCCATTATGAGTCATCAGTAAGTGATGGAAAACTATTGATCACCATCTAGAATGTGCAGCAGCTTCCTGGCCCCCAGGAGAGGACGCCCTTCACAACCCATGAGCAGTCCCCGTCACCCAGAGCACCCCAGGCCTCATGGAGGCTGATGATACTGAACTTCACCACCCTCTCCTGCCTCCCCAGCCTTCTGGGCCTACGACCTCCGACAGGGTCTTCCTCAGGATGTCTGCTTCATACTCCTGGACACACAGCAGGTCAGGGCAGCACGCTTCAAAGACTGGATCACCAAGGGAGCCAGAAATTCTCCCAGTGCTCTGCAAGAAGGGTGAGGCCAGGCACAACCACCCCAGGTAGCTCAGGACCCCTGGGGGTTGGAGGGCACAATCTGTGCCTCCATCACTCGCCTGGCATCTGCAGCTCCTCCCCTGCCCCTTGTACCCCTCTTCCTCCAATGCAGGCTCCTGGGAGTGGGGGCTCAGGTCTCTCATGTGCACACATATTTCCATGATGAGTACATACATGTGTCCCACCTGGACCATGCATGCTGCATGTGTTTACCTGCGGTCCAACGCATGTTGTGTATACACGCCGGCCACATGCACAGGACATGGCGTGTATACCATGGACTCGGCCCGTGAGTTCACCATGTGTGCACGTGTATGCTTGCCGAGGCACAAGCATGGCGCATATCACACGGAGATGCACATGCACGTGGCTTTGCACAGAGCCATCCTCTCTGTGGGCACCATGGCACATGCACAGGTTTGTGTGCACAGACCGCCTGCTGGCACGCACACTTTAAAGCATTAATTTACATACATGTCCTCTGCATAAAATTTTCCATATAGGTATGTAGAAGGCATGCACATGTGTGCATGCTTACTCTGTACATGGTGTGTACACACATGGGTAGAGTCCATTGTGGCAATGTGTGTACATGGTTTATACACTGATGCCCCATGTGCAAAACTACTCTGCAGACAGTCGCTGGACCCACATAGAGCACACTGGCCTCTGTATATGGTATTATATACATGTACTGGGCATACACATGTATGTTGTCAATAAACAATATTTTGTACACTGAATTTACATATCATGTATGTAGTGAAGTGTACAAAGCACACACATGTGGACACATACATGCAGAAACACTCTCTGTCCATAGCAGATGTGGCTTTCCATGTTCTCTGCATCCACAGACACACTAACCTGTGCACACAGGCCCAGCTCAGTGTGTACCCCATAGACATCTGCTTATATGAGCCCACATGTATTCTGGACACTGCATATGACGCATACACACACCCTGTGCAAGTATACTCTGAATACATCCTGTCCGCCCTCAGTAAGGGGCCACAGGCACATGGATGCTGGTCACAATACCACAGCCCACACATGTAGAATGTGTGTACTAATGCTTCCAGAGCTCAGGTCAGGGCCGGGTGCTGCGCACGCCACCAGGAGGGTCTCAGGTACCCCAGTTTACACCCACTCAGTCAGGGCCACCCCAGGAGGGAGTGGGCTGACCCAGTGCCTTTTCTTAGTGTAGGGCAGGAACAGAAGGATCTCTGGGAAGGCATGGCCACCTAGGAAATGCTCTTGGTGGTTCCTGGCCAGCACAGGTGAGGGATTTGTGCACTGCTGTCTGCTTGTTCCAATGCCCGGTTCTGCTTCAACACCTGGGTCAGCAGCCACAGGCATGGGGCATGCTGAGTGAGGCATGAAGCCCGCTTGACTCCCACACTGGCCACGTGTGCACTCGTCGGGATGAAGAACAGGTTTTGGGGTTTGTGACCCGCTTCTTACTAGCCGTGTGACCTTGGGTAAGTCTCTATCCGCTCAAGCCTCTGTCCGCTTTCTCATTGATCCCAGCACGAGGGTGTCCTGCGGGGGTGAGGGTGTGCATGCGGACATGCGCGTGTGCTGTGTACCCACATGTATATGCACAGACGGTACACACACTCGCGTCTCATGAGATGTTTATTTCGTACATGGACGTACAAACATGCATGGCCAGGAGGACGCCGTCATTACATGTGCACAGGATGGGGGTCACAGTGGGTGGAGGGGCCTGGGCTCTCCAAGCTCTCTGAGTGACCTTGAGCAAGCTCCACCCCTTTGCCTCAGTTCCTCCTCTGTACAGTGAGGGGTTGGGCCCTGCCCACCTTGAGTGGCTGCACTTCCCTGTACCTGGCTCCCAGGAAAGTTCATGGACACAGTGCAGGGTCCAGGGTGGAGGCTGGTGTGCTTTGTGGGCAAAGCCCTGTGCAGGATTCCTCCCGGACGCCAGGCTGGGCTGATGCTTTCTTGGCCTCCAGGCCCTGGACCAGGAGGCCTGGGACCTGTTCTGCCCATCACCCTCTCTCTGAAGGGGTTTTGGGAGGGGGTCCTAACTGACTCAGGCATGCTCCCCCCTCCGGAACGCGATTGGCCAACCCCCAGGTACCCGCAGGAGGCTGGACAGTCCTTCCCCCACCGGGCCTGGCACAGGACTAAGCAGCCCCTTTGGCCTAGCGCGGCCCTTCGCAGGCCTGCTGGGGGCTCCCCGCACCCCAGTGGGCCCTGAGCCCCACACGTGTGATCACGCGTGTGCCCTGCCGGGCACAGACTCACCGGCCACAGTTGCAGTGGCAGACGCGGTCCTCGCCCCGCAGGTGCGGGAGGATGTAGTTGTGGAATCGGTCCAGCAGCGCGTTCATGTCCATCAAGCACGCGATGGCCTGGAAGAGCCCATGACCGGTCAGAGCCCAGGAGCAGCCGGGCCGGGGTGTCCAGGTGGGGGTGGGGCACTGGGGATGGGGGAGCGCAGGCGGAGGAGTGGGGAAGCGGAGGCCGAGGGGTGGGGGAGCACAGGCTGGGGGATGGGGATGCTCAGGGCAGCCGGGATAGGGAGCACAGGCCGGGCAGGGGGAGCGCAGGCCGCGCGGCCGGTAAACAAGGCGCGGGAGGGGGAGGCGGCAGGAGGCGCGCGGGCGCGGGAGGCGGGAGCGGGTGGGGGAGCGGGCTCGCGGGAAGCCCCTCCGCTCACCATCACGATCGACGCCCCCAGAATCATGAAGATCATGGTGTTCGCGCTCATGGACATCGGGCGGGGCCGGGCCGGGCCGGAGCGCCGCCCCCCGGCCCCGGCGCCCCCCCGGCCCCGGCCCGATGCTGAGCCCCCGGCGCCTCCGCAAAGGTCTGCGCGCCGCGCACCCACCGCCTCTGGCCGGGTCAAAGGAGCAGGCCAGGGACGCGGGGCAGGAGATGCGGCCGCTTCGGGGTCGTTCGGCGGCCCGGCCACCGCACTCGCCGCGCTCCGCTCCGCCCTCGGCCCTGCCTCCCTCCCTTCCTCCCGGTGCGCGCTCTGGCCCCTCTCCCTGCGCGCCGCCTCCGGGAGGGACCACGCGACCGCCCCGCCCCCGGACACCCGCCCGACCCCTCCCCGGGGCATTTGGTCAGTACGGGCCCTGGAGCCCAGCCCGCGTCCCGACCGGAATGGCGATCCTGGAGAGGGCCCTGGGGTGCCTCTCCCCACTCTTCTCCCTACTTGTCAACTGAAGTTTCTCATCCTGGGCCCCTGGGGTCGAGTGAGGGGCTCTGGTAGGCTGAGCGGCCACTACCTTCAGTGGAGGCCTGCAGGGTCGCTGGGGAGCAGCCAGGATGTCACTCCCAAGCCGCGGCCACATGGCCTGTTGGCTGAGCAAAAGCCAAAGAATGCCCCACCGTGGGGGCGGGGCCAGCTTGTCTGGACTTCCCTCGGGGGTCGGCCCCAGGCACCTGGGTTGGGCAGCCTGGAAGTCGGGGCGCCAGGGCCCTGTTGGTGCTCTGGTGGCCCCATGATGCTGGGAGCCTGGGGAGGTGGCCCTGAATCAGCCTCACGGCAGCCCAGGGCCCGCACAGGAGTCCAGCCCCTCCCCACAGGCGACCTGAGCTTTTCCACGGCTGCATAAAGCAGGAGGGGTCGCTGGGAAGTCAGGCTACTTGGGGGACAGTTGACAGTGGGGAGCAGGTGCCATAGGGAACGGCCCCATTCTGCCAGCAGCCCCAGGGAGTGCAGACCTCCTGGGTGCCGGGAAGCTAGGCTGTACCCACAGGCCCTGGACTGTGGCCCCGGGAGCTTCCGTGGCTGCACCGGGAGGGAGGCACGTCGGGCACCCCACTCTGCCTCCTCCGGAGGACCTGTGAGGGGCCAGCAGGGACTGGGCAAGTGGGGGACTCAGGACAAAGTGAGGACCAGCAGCATGTGTTTCCTGGACAGTGGCAGGCCTCTCCAACAGGCGCTGGAACACCCCAGACAGGGAGGGAAAGGGGAGGAACACGCAGACAGATATGGGGGAAATGAACTGTACACCATGTTTTTATGTTTTGCTTAAAGAAAACAAACTTTACTATCACACTCGTAACAAGGGTGGGGCACCAAACAGGACAGAGGTGGAGCCGCACTACAGCTCGGGTGGGCGCTGGCCCTCAGCAGCAGCCTCAGTCAAAAGGGTTGGGAGGAACCAGTATGAACAACAGGGAGCGCAAGAAGGCTTCAGGCGCAGGCCGGCCGCAGGCTCAGTAGAAGCAGACAGTGTGCAGGAAGGTCCGGCCGCTCTTCTCCTCAAACTCCTGCAGCAGCTCGTCGATCTCATTCTCCATGTCCTCTGTGTGCTGGATCTGGGGGCAGAGAAACCTCTTGAGCGGGGTAGGACCAGGACGCCAGGCCGAGCAGAAGCTGTGGACCTGTGCTGGCGAGACCAGTGCTTCCCACCCATCTGCCATGTGCTACTAGCACAGGTTGCCTGCGGCTCCAAGCCCTCCCCTGGGGGAGCCCAAAGGGAAGAGCTGGGCTCTGGAACCAGGGCCTGCTCTCCAACCCACACCAACTGCAACTACGGGCCCTCGCTCTGCAGACGAGCACTCGGGGCAGGGCTCACAGACCGTCACCAGGGAGGAAAGCCAGCCCGTGTGTGGGGCGGGTGAGGGTGGGGGATGACACGGCACACACAGTCCTGTGCAGGGTGTTAAGCAGCATCTGTGGCCTCTGCCCACTGGCTGCACCAACATCCCTCCCAGGCGTGAGACCCACAAGTGTCCTGGCCGACAACTACTGTCCTAAAAGGAGCAGGTGTTGCAGGGAACAGTCCTGGGGTGGCCCGAGCTGGACTGCAGTCGAGGCCCCTCGCTGCCCCGTCCGGGCCCAAGCAGGGCGTCTGAAGAAGAGCGGCTCCCCATACTCAGCTCTGGCCAGTGCGACCCAGGTCATGTCTGCGACTTCTGGGACATGTCTTCCCTCCAGCCCTCTCTCCGGCGCAACAGCGAATCATGGCCACAGCTGCTGGAGCTTCAGCAGCCACACTGGACCCCGAGGAACACTGGGAATGGAGGCTGTGCTGCGCCCTCAGAGCAAGCCAGCAGGGCGCCCTAGACGTGGCTAAAGCACCTGCTTCTGTTTCCGTCTCTCACAGTAGCTGACCTAGACGCAGGCACCACGGGCAGAAGACAAGGAAGGCATAGGGCTCCTTGCTCGGTAAGAGGAAATATTTTGCTCTGAGCACAGCTGCAGTGGCTGCAAAAGCCCAGGGGTTTTCCACCCCAGGGAGGGCGCCCAGGGCCGCGTGGGGCCAGATGTCTGGAATGACCAGTGGAGAGGACCAGCTTCCTCAGGGCCCTGACACATGGCATCTTCATGGAAGCGAGACACCAGCAGTCACTGCCTTCTACCAACTTAATGCACAGGGTGAATTAGTCGGCTGTCAATCCTAACCTGTGGGCACCGCTCATCACTGCCCGTGACACCCTCGCTCGCAGGAGGACCTGGACCTTCCGCACTCCCTGACCCTGGCCCTCGGGCGCTGCGCCCAGAGCGGACAGGTGGACCTGGACCTTCCGCACTCCCTGACCCTGGCCCTCGGGTGCTGTGCCCAGAGCGGACAGGAGGACCTGGAGCTTCCACACTCCCTGACCCTGGCCCTCGGGTGCTGTGCCCAGAGCGGACAGGAGGACCTGGACCTTCCGCACTCCCTGACCCTGGCCCTCGGGTGCTGTGCCCAGAGCGGACAGGTGGACCTGGACCTTCCACACTCCCTGACCCTGGCCCTCGGGCGCTGCGCCCAGAGCGGACAGGTGGACCTGGACCCTCCACACTCCCTGACCCTGGCCCTCGGGTGCTGTGCCCAGAGCGGACAGGTGGACCTGGACCTTCCGCACTCCCTGACCCTGGCCCTCGGGCGCTGCGCCCAGAGCGGACAGGTGGACCTGGACCCTCCACACTCCCTGACCCTGGCCCTCGGGTGCTGTGCCCAGAGCGGACAGGTGGACCTGGACCCTCCACACTCCCTGACCCTGGCCCTCGGGCGCTGTGCCCAGAGCGGACAGGTGGACCTGGACCTTCCACACTCCCTGACCCTGGCCCTCGGGCGCTGTGCCCAGAGCGGACAGGTGGACCTGGACCTTCCGCACTCCCTGACCCTGGCCCTCGGGCGCTGTGCCCAGAGCGGGCAGCTGGTGTGGATACTCACGCACTGGCAGAGCTCACAGATGAGGAAGGCCCCCAGGGTGGCCTCCTCGTGGTTGTCCTGGATGTCCACGTTGATCACGTGCACCGGCTGGCAGGTCTCCTGCTCCCTGGAATTCAGATCTGACCGGACAGAAGGACACGGGTGTCAGAGACCCTGGCCGAGCATCACACCACCTCCTCCCCAAATACAGCGGTGATTCAACTCAACACCAGGCCCCACCTCGCCCTTGAAATGCGCACCTGCCCAGGGGAAGCGGTCAGCAGCGAGGTCCCTCTCAGAGCACAGGCCCCAGCTCCGCCTCACATGCTCCTCAAGTACCCCGACCCCTGAACTCACACGGTGCTGCCGGCAGCACAGGCAGCCCTGCCCTGACAGAATCGGCCCCAGTCCTCCTGCCAGGACCCTCCCGGACTGCTGCCTGCCCCCTGGGGCCAGGGAAAGGAGGGGTGTGATGAGGGACAAGCAGGACAGAGGGCACCGCAGGCCCCAGGCACACGTGGGGGCACCAAGTCTGTGGGCTCACCTTCCACCACCTGGTCGTACACTCTCTCTTCACAAGTGAGGATCAGGTCAAACAGGTCTTTGCAGTTCTGGAACCTCTCTGGCCGGGGCTTGATTCGCTTATTTCTGTCCAGCATGTGCAAAATGCCGTTCTGCGTGTAGCTGGGCACTGGAGTTAAGGAACTCTAGAGGAGGTGAGCCACTGACCCAGGCAGGCGCCGGGCGCTCTGGACAGGTGCTGCCACAGCCCAAGCCCACTGAGAACACCGTGGGTGGGCAGACCGTCCCTGATCGGCATCAGGATGTGCCTGCCCCAGCCAGCAGGCCACAGCTTCTGGACCAACACAGTCCAGAAAGCAGAGACCGAATGTCAGAGACGTTCAGCCCACCTGCTCTAACTCACCAGCTGCCTTGGTGACTTGTGCCGCAGCACCTATGCTCACATTGACCCTGACCCTGACCCTTCAACAAGGACAACGCCACCCCAGCCAGGCTTAGCAACAGCAATGAAACTCCAGAAACCTGACAGTAACAGGGTACAGGAGTGAAAGGGGACCCAGAACCACTTGAAATCCCACTTCAAACCACAAGGGACAGGCGAGGATGAGAATGAACAGGGCAGCGGGGCCATGAGAGCCCGTCCCTTGGAGCTCAGAGGGACACCCAGGTCCCACAGTGAAGTCTGTGCCAAGTAGGTCAGGGGTCCTCCAGATGGCCCCACCCCCACCCAGCAGGGTGGCTGTCTATCCTTGGGGTCCCCGGGAAAGGACCCACCTCAACAGGCAGATCCCTGAACACGAGGATGGGCCTCTAGGGCCATTCCAGACAGATGGGAACAAGCACCTCGTCAGCGCTATTTCAGAGGCGCAGGTGGGCTGATGCAGGAATTCTGAGTGCTGTCAATGACCCGACTTTTTAAGTCCTTTTAAGTCGTGATGACTTAGTCACATCAGCTCCTACCTTCCTGGATACTGAGAACGGCTTTTATAAAGTGTGTAGGTGGTTTATTGAACAGCTTTAACTTAGAAAACGCTGGACTGTTAGCTGTGCTGTTTTCGCTCCTGACCCTCAGCCCCCTGCACCTCCGAGACCTGCCACCCCACAGGCTTGGCTCTCGAGGACAGATGGCCACCAGGTGCTCGGACCAGGGCTGCAACCATCCTGCCAAGAACTCGCAAAGCTCCTCCCCCCTTCGCTTCACCTTCATTGGGTTAAGTAGCTGATGTCGTAAGTTGAGGAATCAGACCTGACCCACACGCGTTTAACAGGGAAGTAGAACAGTGGCCTCTCTGGACCATTTTCTGGCAAATTCCAGGGCTGTTTGGCCTGGGCCAAGCCAAGCAGGACCAAGGACAGGAGGTGCCCGTGCCAGGAGCCATTTGGGAAGGAAACCATGACCCCCTCCCACTGTTTCACTCCCCAGGGACCCAGAACCACCTGGAACCCCACTTCGAACCCCAAAGGACAGGAGTGGGAATGCAGGGGCAGGGCAGAGGCCAAGGGGAAGCACGTCCCAGGACAAAGCCCTCATCAGGATAAAGCTGGGGCCAGAGTGAGGGGCCGTGAAGGCCGGCTTCTGAGGACTCGTGCACAGGAGGGGACGCGAACTGCTGGAAGCCAACAGACCCGAGGCATTTGGTCAGAGAACAAAGTGTTCCACGAAAATGTCTCCTGGCTGAACAAGGACCTCAAGTGCTGAGGCAGCAGCAGGGTTGGCCAGGCAGCGCCCGCCATTCAGCCCTGAACCGGAGGACACACCCCTGGGGGAGCAGTGGACGCAGGGAGCCGAGAGGACGGCTGACGGCCTGGGCCTGGGAACAACCCCACCCCCATTCCCACACACAGGCACTCCGGGTCCTGGATGGGGGGCTGGCTGAGCCTCCCCTGCAGCTGACACACAGTGAAACATGAGCTGCTGGTTCCAGAGCCCACCCAGGGTTAGGGGCACCACCTACCTGCCCCTAACCTCTGAGCCCCCGGCCTAACAGCTGGTCCCTGAAGGAGCACAGCCTCAGTGACAGGAGGTTCCTAATACAGTTCAGCCTCCTGCGGACCCCACAATGCTTCTGAAGCCAAGACGGGATGATGCCAAGGTTTGACCATTGGCTGTAGGGGACTTCGACAGTCCCCCCCAAACACCTGCTTACAGTGCCAGGGAGCAGGAGCCGTTCATGACGTGGGGGCATTGCATTTGCACCCAGAGCCCCTGGAGGGGATGTCACGCCTCTCCACGGACCATCCCGGAGCACACTGAGGCCAGCTGTGCAAGAACTGTTCTGGCCTGATGTGGGCACCGCCAGCTCCATGGCAGCAGGAGTGTGTGCGCAGGTGGGCGGCAGGAGTCAGGGGCTCGTGTGGAGCGAGGTCTGGGCCAGAGACCCCATGCGCACTCAGCTCAAAGCAGAGGTCCCAGGAAGGAGGGAGGGCCGAGGTCGGAGGAGATGGATGAGCGTTTCCAGAGCAAGGGAACCATACTGGCAGGAGTCAAAAAGGACCAGATGCCTACTGCAGAGGCCATGGGTTTAGCAGCGGGCTCCCACACCCCACGGCCTCAGAGTCCCAGGGATGATAATCAGGGCCTTCCACCTGCCTCCTGCCCCCTCCCAGAGCTTCCCAAGGTGGGAGAGGGGAGCACAGCGCCTGCGCAGGCCCAGCTGGGTAGAGAATCCAAACTCTCAGGACCGGGGCAGGGACAGCCCCGACCCCAAGCCAGGCAGCACCTGCTCATGAAGGGATTTCAGGGCCAGCGGCCTGGCAGCATCCTGAACAGGGCAGGAGCCGGCGCCCACCACAGGCCCCACAGGTTCTCTTCCAACAACAGGGGCTCAGAACCTTTGCCCTGCATCCCTGCCCAGGCTCTGGAGCAGCAGGCTCCCTCGGGCCCTGTGGAATCACCTGCTCAGGTCCTGGCTGGACTGACCGTAGGCGCTGGCACTCCGCTGACAGGACACCTCAGGGCTGCTTTGCAGACGCTCACTGGATGACCCAAGGATCCTTGTCAGACGCTGCCGCACCAAATTCAGGTGTCCCCACTCTGTGCCTCAGCTTCAGAGGTGACCCCAAACCCTCTGCGGTCAACACCCCGAGGGGGACCATGCCAGGGGGAGCCAGCACAGCACTGGAATCCTGTCACCCAACTTAACTTCCAATCTCAAAAAGGTCAAGCCCACTAGGCACAGATTCTCAGGTGCGGGGAAGATTCTCAAGGGCACTGTGGCTCAGAAATGCCCAGAGGTGCACCCTCCCTCGGGGGCCACCACAGCAGCCACAGGCAGTCCAGATGTGCTGGGCTGCACTGGGTCGGGGATGGTACCGAGGACAAGGCTGCAGCCTGCCCTGCTCAGGCACACACTCCCAGGGAGGGGCCCAGGGCCAGGCCCCCTCCCCAACCCTGGCTCTCACATCGCGGGCAGCAGAGCCCCATGCCCGGAGGAAGCGCAGGGCAATGCCCCAAGCCCACAGCCACCATGAAGAGCAGTCCCAGCCCAGGAGGTCCGACTCCTGTCAGTGGCTTCCTCGTCTCTGGTGTCTTCAGGAGTCCTCCAAGACCCGTTAGCCTGGCATGCCTGACCAGGGGCTCCTCCCTGCAGCTGGAGCTACTTGGGCACCCAGTGGGTAGAAAGTTCCCCAACAGGGAAGCTGCCCCAGCCCATCTCAGGAACAGCTCAAGTACTTCAGTCAAACTTTAGGATTATTACGTAGGAGCAACGTTTCTGCCTTCACTTTCTTTTCTTTTAACCCTCACCCAAGGACATTTTTGCATTTATCTTCAGATAGAGCAGGAGGGAGACATGGGGGAAGAGAGAGAAAAAAACATCGATGCGAGAGAGAATGGCTGCCACCCACATGACCCCAACCAGGGCCTGGGGACAAACTGAAACCGAGGTACATGCCCTTAGCGGGAACCGAACCTGGGTCTCTCTGGTCCATGGCCAATGCTCTAACCACTGAGCCAAACTGGCCAGGGCTCTGCCTTCACTTTAATTAGCACAAGCTGAATGGGGCCCGTGGTCTGGCCACCTCTGAGATTCCAGGGCCAGGTATGCTGGCACCCCAGATTGTTCCCAGCCTGGCGTCACCCATGAGTCCTCCTCTTTCAACCCCTCAAAAAGCTTTCCTGCCCGGCCGGTGTGGCTCAGTGGTTGAGTGTCGACCCTGCACCAAGAGGTTGCCAGTTCGATTCCGTCAGGACACATGCCCACATTGTGGGCCACATTCCCAGTGGGGGGCATGCAGGAGGCAGCCAATCGATGTTCTCTCTCATCGATATTTCTCTCTCTCCCCCACCTTTCTCTCTAAAATCAATAAAGAAAAATTTTAAAAAGAAAAAAAAAAAGCTTCCCCGCCCTGGGAGGGCTGCACCCCTGAATGCCACTGCAGCACACCCCAGTCCCCACCGTCCGTCCAGTCCTCCAACACTAGCTACGCGCTGCAGGCCAGGCCCCCCTCGAGCTGACTGGGGAGAGCACGCCGAGGGGAACCGCACGTGTGAACCACTGCAAAGCATACCCAGTGAAGACAGGCGTCACCTGGCCCATTGAGAAAGGCCACCACCCCCTCCTTCCCACTCCTCCCGTGAATGAGCAAAGCTGCTCAGGGACCCTGCCCACCCCCTCGTCACAGATCCAGGTGACACCCCAAAGGGCCTGTAAGCAGCCTGCCCACCCTACATTTTCCCGGCAACACACGGAATCAGCAAGGATACGAGATGTTTCCCAGGATCACAGGCCTTGCCCAGCGGCTGCCGGCCGGGCCCCTCCCCCCCTCCTGAGGAGGCGCTGAGGGGAGTCACATCCTGGGGCTGTGCTGTCGTCCCCAGGACAGAACACAGCCCATCAGCTGCTGGAGGACTGGCACCCGGGGCAAGAGCCTTTGGGGAGCTGTTGGCACACTTGGGGGAGAAAGGCAAGGAGCAAACAGGTTTGAGCTGGGGACCCTCTGAAAGGGTTGTGGGGACAGCGGGGATACTCGGACCACACTCAGAACCACTGCAACAAAGGCGTTCGAGCCAGCGCTTCTAACAAATTCACACTCACTCACTTCTGTGGTCAAAGCTGTTCTGCAGCCCTGGCCGGTTTGGCTCAGCGGTTAGAGCGTCGGCCTGCGGTCCGGAGAGACCCAGGTTCGGTGTCCGCTAAGGGCACGTACCTCGGTTGCAGTTT